CCGTTCCAACAGAACTGCGCAGAACTTTTTCATTATCATAATTCGTTAGGGAACGGATAATTGCGAAAGATCCTTAATGTTCCACCGGGTAGCGTAAAACGTCACGGACTCTGAACTTGTGTAATAACAACGTGAGTACAAGTTTGCTCCGAGTGCGGATGGAGCTTAACAGAACGCAGTCTCCCTGAGTCACGCTCGAGGGCGCCGCCCCTTCCCACGCCACTTGAGTCAGGCGAGGGAAACAATAAATATTGATAAAAGTAAGAATAAAAACAGCTTATTGGTAGTGTAGCCAACAATGAACATTGCGTTTTGACATGAAATGAAATGACGCACGAAATGTATTACATTCCTCGTCTATCTGGCAGACGAATTTGGTGAGGTGTTCGTATCCGGAAGTAATCCGGTATCCAGTGCAATTGCATTGTACGAACGACGTACAGCCGCCTGTGCCATCGCTGTAATAATGCCCAATAACATAAATGTTAGCCAACGTGACATCTACAGAAATTGCACAAATACATCTTATCACAAAACCGAAGAAAGGGAAGGCCAGAGCATCGGCCGGCGAGCAAAGCACCGCCACGCTCGGTGCGGCAGCCGCCACGGGCCCGGACGCGTGCCGCCGCGCTCCTCGCCGGCGCCGCTACCAGGATTCGCTTCGACGTGGGACTCCGGGGGGAAGGACCGTGGGAAAATCGGGGTAACCGTGGGAAAAAATAGGACATTGACGCCGTGACGTGTTCGTGTGGTCAGCCGGTGTGGCTGTGTGAGTGTGCTGGTCGGGGCAGCTGAGGAGGTACCGAGAACCTGCGAGCAGGCAGGGCGCGGCCATGGGCGCGGAAGAACACAGGGGAAGCGGAGATACGGGCGTTTCCGTTTGGAGACAGGCCTGTAAAAGTTTATTGGCAAGGGAATATCCACTCCTACAGCACGAGGGGTCCGTTAAGGGTGGACAGAGCGAGGCTGTAAGGGTGGACAGAGTGAGGTATTAAGGGAATTAAGGCAATAATTTAAGGGTGGATAGAGTGACAGAGTGGGAGCGATCCGGGAGAATCTTGACTTTGTGCGGTAAGATAGAGAATACAAGTGGTCGCGATGCGGTCAGGTCGGGATGACGTCGTTGTGATGCGGCCGAGTGCGGTCGCGGGACAATCGAGAGCCAGATAATAGCAGCCGGGAAATGCGGCGGCCATAACCAGTTCCATCTTGGGAATATACCGTAAGTAGTTGTAATAATAACAGAAGCAGCATTTCTGCTGGAACGCAATAGTAAAATTAAAATGATTGTGACAATAGTGATGACAATGACAATAATCATCATCATAAATAAAGAACGAAACAAAGAAAGGAAAGATAGAAGCATAAAGAAGACATTAATATAGAGGAAAAACCCCAAAGCCAACTCGAGTAAACCAAGCGACCGCCGCGAAAGAGCCCACGCATTTCCGCTTCCGTTAAAAGGGGCGGGAAACTAACCCGGCGGAGGTCTTTCTCTTAACTCCCTCCTCTCACCTGTCATCATTATCATTATTACCTTTACTGTTATTAACATTTATATCATCATTTCTGTCACTATTATTACTATCATCATCATTTCATCACTATCACTATTGTATGCAATTCTATGGCATGTTCTCCCTCTATCTCTCTCTCTCACGCGCGCTCTCTTCTCAGAACCTCTGCAACTAACAGAAGCAACAACAACAACAAAACGTAATCGGCAAATAAAAATAGACCTTCCTAATCCGTTATTTTTTGCCGATGTTTCCCCTCGTTCCGCTCCCTCGGTCCGCAGCCTCTTCCTGCCGTTTCGCCCGAAGAGCGAGCGGGCGCCGTGGTCTCGCGGTCCCTTGCCGGAGAAAGTGAAAGGGGCGGGGAGGGAGGAGAGGGCTTGCTTAGACAGGGATTATGTGTTCATTCATACATACACATATACAACAAAAAGGGAAATTGTGTGTGTGTATGTGTGTGTGTGTGTGTAAAGAGAGAGAGGGAGGGAGATAGATGGAGAGAGAACAAGATAGAATGAGAGAGAAAAACATCCAAACAGGAAGCTGTGAAATATTGGTGGAAACAACGCTCTGCGCTTCACAAGATCGAGAGCAGACTTCTGCCAACAGCGACGTCAGGAAGCGATCGGCCACCGCTCCCTTGGGAGCAGGGATGCCAGGTCTCGGGGCGGCTCTGCTATCGCGGTCCCGAGAAGACAAGGCAATGAAATTGATCTTTCGTGAACCTGAAGGAGAATGAAGCTGAATACTGAATGTCTATATATATCAGAACAGGGAGGAGAGAGCGCGAGGGAGGGAGGAGGGAAGAAGAAGAAGAGATAGACAGACAGACAGACAGACAGATAGACAGAAAGGCAGGCAGGCAGACAGATAGACAGACAGAAGGTCAGAAGAAGGAGCCGTGAGAGCACGGGGGAGGTGCACAGAAGCACTTTACTGCTGTCTTCCTCCCAGCACAGATCGCCTCGAATGCGCCAGGTCCCTCTGAGCCGTGACTGATTGGATCTTCTCGCCGTAAATAAATACAGTTTTCCTCCTACGCCGGCGATCGAAGCCATGTGACGACCGGCAGAACGCTTCTCAGATCTCATTCGCTCAACGACAAAGCA